AAAGTGGCAGAATCCCCTCTCTGGACCTGCTGGCAACGCAGCTTTTGATGCAGCCCAGGATGGGATTGTCCTTCTGGGCTGCAAGTGCCCACTGCCTGCTCATGTCCAGCTTCTCCTCCACCAGCACCCCCAAGTCCCTTTCCTCAGGGCTGCTTTCCAATCCCTCACCCCCCAGTTTGTATTGGTGGCGAGGATTGTTCCGGCCCAGGTGAAGAACCTTGCATTTGCTCTTGTTGAACCTCATGAGGTTCACCTGGGCCCATCTCTCCAGCCTGGGGTCCCTGTGGTCCCTGATGGTTTCTCTCTGGACAAGGAGAGGCTGTTGGAGCCTCATGTCTCCATGCCCAGCTTAAACACCCAGGAATGACCAAGGCTTCATTGCTCCAGGCTCCACTCTCCACGTAGCAGCGCGTGAGTGACTGCACGGAGGAAGCCACCCTTGCCCCAGGTCTGCCTTAAAGATGAGCTAATGAGTGAAAGCCCAGGCTCCTGTCAGTCCTTAACGAGCTACCCCAGGTCTCTGCCCCTGTGCTTCTTGCCTCTGCTGCCCCGAAATATTGCCACCTCCTTCCAGAGGGAATGGGCACACAGGGCTGAAAAACCTCCTATGAGTGAAAGCCCAGGCTCCTGTCAGTCCTTAACGAGCTACCCCAGGTCCCTGCCCTTGTCCTTCTTGCCTCTGCTGCCCCAAAATATTGCCACCTCCTTCCAGAGGGAATGGGCACACAGGGCTGAAAAACCTCCTTGGGCAAAGTCCAGCCTGGCATTGCACCTGGCGTGTTTTTATATTATTATAGATATCTATATATATTTTTTTTTTCAGTAGTAGGGCATTGTTTGCATTTAGTTTCCTGGTTTTATAGGCTCTTGGGGGTCAAAAACCAGCACCCACCCAGTTGAGCAGTGACCTTGTGGCCCAGGTCGGGGCACCTGCCTCTCCTTGGGATCCTCCTGCCCGTTCATGGCACAACTCACCTGGCGTTGGCCTCTCCCTGCTTTGGCCCCGACAAACCAACAGGGTCTCCTGGGATTGGAAAAAAAGCCAGATTCTGCTGGTTTCAGTGGTCCTCAGCCCCGGTGTGAGCGTACCTGCCAGGGTTTGTGCTGAGCTGGGAGGGCTGAGCTTCAATTCTGAGGTGTGATGAGTTTCACCCCGTTCTCAGCTATGTCTGAGCTCTGATGCTGCTCCCTGGGGTTGGTGGAGATCGGAGAAGATGGCTGGGCTCTGCAGTGGGATCCGCAGCCGGCCACAGAACCCTCCTAAGGGACAAACACAGGCAGGCACTGGGAGAGCAAACAGGTATGTCTGAGCTCTGATGCTGCTCCCTGGGGTTGGTGGAGATCGGAGAAGATGGCTGGGCTCTGCAGTGGGATCCGCAGCCGGCCACAGAACCCTCCTGCTCACCCTCCCGGCATTGGCCTCTCCCTGCTTTGGCCCTGACAAACCAACAGGGTCTCCTGGGATTGGAAAAAAAGCCAGATTCTGCTGGTTTCAGTGGTCCTCAGCCCCGGTGTGAGCGTACCTGCCAGGGTTTGTGCTGAGCTGGGAGGGCTGAGCTTCAATTCTGAGGTGTGATGAGTTTCACCCCGTTCTCAGCTAAAAAAAAGCCAGATTCTGCTGGTCTCAGTGCCCCTCAGCCCCGGTGTGAGCATACCTGCCAGGGTCTGTGCTGAGCTGGGAGGGCCGAGCTGCTCTTCTGAGGGTGTGATGAGTTTCACCCCGTTCTCAGCTATGTCTGAGCTCTGATGCTGCTCCCTGGGGTTGGTGGAGATCGGAGAAGATGGCTGGGCTCTGCAGTGGGATCCACAGCTGGCCACTGGACCCTCCTAAGGGACAAACACAGGCAGGCACTGGGAGAACAAACAGGGACCAGCCCAAACACTTCATGTGGCTTCATTATTTCCCCGTTACCACCTCAGATACCGGTAACCGACCCCAGAAACCCTGAATCCGACCCCATCCAGTCGCTGGCAGCTGGATCTGGGAGCCTGGTGGCAGCTGTAGGTCACTGTTACAGAGCATTGTGCTGCCTGTTCTAAGAGCAGAGCTCCCTGAGTGTCACCAAAACCGAGTTATGGGTGCTGTCCCTGTCCTCGGCCCCTGCAGGAGCCAGGGCAGCCGTCAGGGAAATCGGGACTCTTAAAATTCTCCAGGCTGAGCTCTGGTTGGCATCACTACATGGAGCATCATCTACCTGGAGGCAGGTTGGGCAGCAGCTGAGAGAAGACAGAGTTAGACAGAGAGGAGGCAGCGGCAGGAACCCCAGAGGAAGCTGAGGGAGATATTTTTTGGGGGGAAGAAGGGAGGGGTGTCATTTTTGCCTTTGGTGCAGGTAAAGGGAAAAGGCAAAGTCCTGGGAGAGCGGGGCCGTAAGGGCGGCTCTGACCCCCCCGGGGGGTGAATGCCCGGGGCCGTGTTTGTGAACCACGGTCGATCCCAGCGCTACCCCTGGACTTCAACCCTTGCGGCCAGCGGAACAGAAGGTGTTTCTCCTGACGGCCTTGTCCTCTGCAAACACCCAGCTGCCACCGACTTTCCCCAGGCCAAGGTGAAGCAGAAACACCCTTTTGCTTCCAAAATCCAGTTTCCCCCTGGAATAAACCCCACCAGGGCAGGGCAGCTCCGGGCTGAGCAGCTACAAAAGTGGCTTAAAGAGATGTGAATCCCCACCTCAGCCTCAGACCATGGACTGTGGCCTCGTCCTTGTGACCATGGCAAGGAAATGCCAGGCACCATGAGGGACATCAGGACCAAACCCCACCAATACATCCTTGTGACCCCCAGCAGATGTTTCTCCTACCAGGGAGGGCCGTGCTGGAGGGTGGTGGCAGGCGATGAAGGTCCCTTTGCTGTTCCACACCCGCGTGGAGTCACCTGGAGAAGGCGTTTCGGTGCTGCCACCCACCGGAGCCGTGGCCACCAGCAGAGCCTGGAGCTCCTCCACCCACCTGGTCACAGCTCCCTCGCTGCTGGGTCCCTTCTTGCATCCTTTAAAAGAAAACCTTGAAGGCAGACAGGCTCTGCGGGATCTTTCCAGATGGTCAAAGTTCTTTCCAAGTCTTTTACTTCATTCTTTTTCTTCTAAAAGCACCTCCTGGCTTAGCTTTTTTTAATGAATATTGAAGCTCAGACCATTTGGGAAGCAACCCGGGCTGCAGGACTGCTTCAGAAAGGAAAGAGCAAGGAAAGAGCAAGGAAAGAGCAAGGAAAGAGCAAGGAAAGAGCAAGGAAAGAGCAAAAGCCCCAAGAGGGAAATGGAGGCACCAGGTATTTCTTCATTCCTTTTCTTCTAAAAGCACCTCCTGGCTTAGCTTTTTTTAATGAATATTGAAGCTCAGACCATTTGGGAAACAACCCGGGCTGCAGGACTGCTTCAGAAGCAAGGAAAGAGCAAGGAAAGAGCAAGGAAAGAGCAAAAGCCCCAAGAGGGAAATGGAGGCACTGAATATTTAAAGTTACCACTTGCTTTGAGGAGAAGCCACAGCTCCTCTGTTACCAAGGACCAGGCTGGAAAGAATGAGGGTCAATCCATCCGCTTTCTAACTTCTAAACCCCACTAAAATAAATCATTCAGTCCAGGGAAGGTGAATTTCTTTAACACTCAAAGCCTCACGCATCCATTCCCAGCAGAGTCCCTGCTCTTCCTTAACCCCAGCCCAAGGAACCAGGGGCAGTGGGTGGTATCTCCCGTCCCACCAAAGTCACCATACTAAAGAACAGCACTTTTTTGGCAGGGCGAGGACCCACAGCCAGCGTGAGTCTCCAGAGAGTCTCCTGGCCAAACCAAGCCCAATAACAATCAAATATTGTCTTCAGAGAAAGAAAGGTGCTGAGTCAGGCTCCCAAAAGGAAGTACCTGCACGAAAAGAGCATGTTTACACCCCTGTGGCCGGGTGAAGGGCTCTTGTGCTTCTAAGATCTCCTCTTGGACAACCAAGTCGTTCTGTCAGATCACTCAGCAGAGCACTCAAAGCTCATGCTCAGGGTGAAAAACCACTACAGCAACAGCCAAGACAGCTTTGTGGACAGCAAACATCAACTTCAGCAGGCAAAACAAAAAAAAACAATCCTGTGGATTCATTCCATGTGTGGCCGTGAGCAAGGAAACCCATCACCCGTGGGGCAAACTCAAAAAGCAGGAGAGTTGCTGAGCACAGGGCTGACAGCAGAGACTGCTGGATTACAGGTTTAAATGTCAAGTTTTCAAATATTTCCAGGAATGGCAATGATCTTGCAGCAGGAGTTTTGGAGCAACCAGATGGTTAGGAAACAGGGGACAAGCTCCCGGGCTGGGGATCCAGCAGACAGAGCCCCACTGAGCAGCAATCAGACCCCAAACCTCCAGAAACAGCCTTTCCCCGGGGTTTCAATGCGCCGTTACAGCCACTGGGTCACTCTGCTGCTTGAGGGAAGACTAACCTCTTCCAGGAAAAACACTGGAGAAATGCAGAGAGGAACTGAGCACAGGGCTGACAGCAGAGACTGCTGGATTACAGGTTTAAATGTCAAGTTTTCAAATATTTCCAGGAATGGCAATGATCTTGCAGCAGGAGTTTTGGAGCAACCAGATGGTTAGGAAACAGGGGACAAGCTCCCGGGCTGGGGATCCAGCAGACAGAGCCCCACTGAGCAGCAATCAGACCCCAAACCTCCAGAAACAGCCTTTCCCCGGGGTTTCAATGCGCCGTTACAGCCACTGGGTCACTCTGCTGCTTGAGGGAAGACTAACCTCTTCCAGGAAAAACACTGGAGAAATGCAGAGAGGAAGGGAGGGCAGAGAAACACAGCCCAGACTTGCAGGGGGAACTAACAGGGTGCAGAGAAACACGGCCCAGACTTGCAGGGGGAACTAACAGGGTGGCTCAGGAGGAGGTGGGGACAATGGAGACAGCAGTGACACAGCCACGTCCCCGCAGGGGCTGCTGGAGGTTGGCCAACAAGCTGCTGCTGGAGCCTTTTGCTCCATTTCCCTGGGGCCCCAATGAACTGGTTTGAGGGCTCCCGGGTACAAAACCATCTCTGGAGACCCTTCCCAGCCGAGAGAAGGCAGCACTTACCTGTTGAGGGCTATAAAAATCCTTCCAGGAAACACATCTGTGGCACAACCGCTGTGGACTCTGCCTCCTGCCCAAGGGTGGGCACCCAGATTGAACTCGGTCCCCGTTTAACAAAATCAAGACAGAACAGGCAGGAAACCATGTACAGAAGGACTCAAGTTTGGGCTCAGCCTCCTGCCTTTCTGCACAGACTGGAAAAGAATCACAAGTCCTTAAGAGACCAAACTTAAGGGAAAAAAAAAAACCCAAAGGGTTAGTGCCAATCCTTCACACCATCCACCCCATGCACCAGAGATGGTCCTGGGCACTGGGGGGGGGGGGGGTCATCAGCTGAGTTTTGGTCATGAAATTAGAAAGCACAAAACTGGTCCTTTGAGTCACAGGGGCAGAGACGGAGCCAACCCTCCCTCCCCAGACAGATCCTGCCCCGCCATCAGGGACAGAAGCAATTCCCAAATTTCTAGCAAGTTGTCTACAACACAGGGAATGAGGTGGAAATTCTCCCTCCCTGCACCCGCCCCCAGGCTCACATTTTCCAGAGCTCAGTTCCAGCATCACCCCTCGGGGAAGGTCCAGGTTTCCCTCCCATGCAAATAAGTGCTTCCCCAGGGGCTCCTTTATTCACATCCAGCTTCCAGATGTTCCACAAACCAGCCCAACATCCAGCCCCCCCAAACAGCCCCCCCCAGGCAGGGACAAGTGCTGTCAAACAGATGAAAACCCAGAAACAGGCTGCCCAGGGAGGTTGTGGAGTCCCCTTCTTTGGAGATTTTCAAGACCCACCTGGCAGATGTTCCACAAACCAGCCCAACATCCAGCCCCCCCAAACAGCCCCCCCCAGGCAGGGACAAGTGCTGCCAAATGGATGAAAACCCTGGAACAGGCTGCCCAGGGAGGTTTCAAACAGATGAAAACCCAGAAACAGGCTGCCCAGGGAGGTTGTGGAGTCCCCTTCTTTGGAGATTTTCAAGACCCACCTGGATGCTCCTGAGTAACATGCTCTGACAAGCTCTAGGCAATCCTGCCTTAGCAGGGGAGTTGGACTTGATGATCTCTATGGTCCCTTCCAACTCTAAAATTCAGTGAAATTCAGTGAAAACACCTTTATCCGTGTTCTGCTGGGACAGCAGGGATCAGCAACCCCCTGCACAAACCCCCCTCCGCTGAGGGATGCTCTCCCCGACACAGACACAAGCAGGAAGGTGAAAGACACAGCACAGGTAAAGAGCAACATGTTTTGCTTTATAAAAAAAAAAAAAAAAAAAGACCAAATCAGACATTTAAGGCCAAGGAGTGCAAAAGAATCCCGTAAGACACCACAGGTGAACCAGCTTCAGCAACCGTCGAGTTGACAGTCTTCCTCTTAGTGAGTTTTTTGGGGTTTTTTTGGGGGGGTTTTGCAAGCTTAATCCATACACATTCACTCTTGGTACACAGACTAAACATAAAAAAAATAATGTCCTATTGCATCTGCAACAGCCATCGGCAGCTCTTCCGCCCCTCGTCTCCAAAAGCTCCGGCGTCCAGAGCGCGGAGCTCCGTGTCAGCGCGACCCACGCCGACGCCTCAGTGCACAGCTTTAAGTAAACTTGTCCAAATATCATTCTGTACAAATCCATTGGGAAGCAGGAAGCCAGACAGGCCCATCGGATGGTGGTGACATTCAGGAAGGAGGGGAACTCCTCCGGGAGTCCCGGGCTGGCCTTGCTTCAAGTCTCTTCCTTGCATAAATGGGATTTTTTCACCAATTTCACCAACCGACAGCTTTAAAAAACCAAAAAACAAAGCAAGGAGGGGAAGGCAAATCCACGTCACGGTCTCTCCTCTTTATTTTCAAAATTGCCCTCCATCAGTGTCTCAAGGTGTAGTCTCAGTAATGTCCATGATTTATGAAAGCTCTGAAATGCAAGCACTTTACAAAAAGAGGCTCTAAAAAGGGACATCAACTGTACATTGCAAAGGGATTTGGGCTGGTTTAAGTAAGCCTGACTGCTCATGGGAGGAATTCCATCCTTCCCCCCTACCCAACCTTTTGAAGAGTAATCACAGGCTACGAAATAAAGGCACATTTCAGTTGAATTAAGGCACATTTCAGTTGAATTAAGGCACATTTCAGTTGAATTAAGGCACATTTCAGTTGAATTAAGGCACATTGCAGTCCAATTAGGTACATCTCAGTCCAATTAAGGCACATAAACACAGTCCACACCAAAGCACGGGGCCTATTTTGGTTTCCCCCTCTCCCCCTGCAAAAAACAGTGGGCGTGTTTATTCTACAGCTGGTAAATTCAACTAAACCTTTTCTATTCACGTCCAAGGGCACCCGAATGGATAAACAAGTCCCATGGCTTCACCTTGTTTGCTTTCTGATAAACAACCCAGTGGCAACACCAGCAAGAGACAGCTTCCTCCCGCTGCAGCCCCGCAGCCCTCAAGGTCGCCTGGCACCGTGCCCTGGGGGCAGAGATTCCACATCTCCTGCCTCTGCCCCGCTGTTAGAGAGGAGCAAAGGGAAGGAGAAGGCACCCAGGAGGAAGGCAGGACCAAGCAGTTCCTCCCAGGGAAGCTCTCAGGGGAGGTTTTCCTTTCAAAGCAAGGCACTTGGGATTATTCTTCTAGAAAATCCCTCGAAACCGCTCAATTCTTAATTACTAGAACCTAAAAAATGAACTGGCTGGTTCCTTCACCTGGCATCACCCGAGTTCAGGGCTGGCCCCAGCAGCCAGTGTGATGGGGAGATGCAGAGGGCTTGGCAGATGAGGGAGGAAGAGCTCCCTGGCACACAAATCACAGGTCATCACGTGCAACCAGTAACATCCCTGCCCACAGCTCACGGTGACCACGAAGCTGATCCCCAGGGTCTGTTCTGGTGATGAGTGGCACATCTGTCCAGACATCCCACCCCTCTGCAATTAGCTCTATCTCAGGAGACATGCCAAGAGGTCAAAGATTAAATGAATCACTTCACCTCAACCTTCTCCTTACACAGCAGCAGGAGGGGACACCACTAAGATCTGGCTACTGCAAACCTCAGGGAGAGAGGACTTACCTTTTTGGGGACCAACCCAACCACTTTAAATAGAGATTTGGGTCCCCAGAGAGCAGCTGCTCTCACCTCAGCATCAGCACAAACCCAGAGACACCATCCAGTTATTCCCCACCCCAGTTAACTTATGGAATGCCAGAAAGCAAGAGCTGTACAACAGATCCTCAAAAAAGGGAAAGGGCTGGGCCCCTGAGGTTGTTGAAGCTAAATGTGAACTATGGAAATCACAGAGGCACAAGTTATTGTGTGACTTCCTTGTCCATCTTCTCCTCCCTGGGCACACACTCCACCTCCCAAATTCATCAGCTCCACAGTTCACTTCCTTGATGTTCTATATTGTCCAAAAAAAATATAATAAAAAAAAAAAATTAAAAATCCAGTGAAATTCAGACAGCAGGAGAAATTCGGCTTCAAAGTGGGATCAGGGCAGACTTGGAAGGGGGGAGGAAATAAAAATGGCATAGCACGCTCCGTATTGCAAGAGGAGAAATCTGATTGCAGCAAAGCCTCCAAACGCCCGCCCGCTGCTCGGGTCCTTTTCCTTAACAATACACCTGAAGCAGAGGTGCCCCAGATGAGTCAGTCTCTGTGTCTTGGAAAGAAGAATCTCTGCTCGTTGGAGAGCCTTGGAGAGGAAAGAGAAGAGATGGTGACATTAGACAAGGTGAACCAGAGCAGCCGAGCGCCTGGCAGTCAGGCAAGGAGCTGCCACAAAAGGCTTTGTGTATCATGAGGGAGGAGAAAGCCACACAAAGCCCACAGGCAGGGAACAACCCTGCCCGGATTGTAACCATCTCCTAGGACAGATCTGTTATTAAGCAGGAGAAAACTTGCCTTTTAGCCCTGGGCTGCTCTTTGGAGCGGAGCGTGAGGATCGGAGCTCAGGGGACAGCCCATCACTCCGTCCCCTGCTTCCCTTTTTGCACAGTTCCTTTTGTTTCCCAGTATAACCCAGCTGTGACCTCAGCTGGTCACACCCCAAATCCAGCCCCAAACTTTGTGGGGACACCCAGAGACTGAAAACTCTCAGGCCAAGTCCAGAGAACGCTCCAAACTTGGGTTTCATTCCTTTTTTTCAGGGGGAGCCACCAACCCAGGCAGTTTTCTGAGCTCGAGAGAACTATATCCCTGAGGACAACCAGAGATGCAGGTGTCAGAGATGCAGGTGTGAGCTCAGCCTTTGTAAATGGTAAAAAATGGAAAGCAAACGTAACAGGGGAAGTTCAGGGCATCCATTCCCCTCACTCCTGTGCTGCTGCTGCAGCTCAGACCCACAGCCAGGTACGTTACCTGCGCTGCTGTGCCGCCTCATATTCCTGGCTATCACATCTGCTGGGGTTTCTTCTGAGATTTGCACGGCCAGATCTGGAAGGAAAAGCAAAAAGGGCATGAGAGGGGAAAGGACGGGGCAGCCGTGACTCAAGAGTAAAGATCCCTGTCAGGGAAAAACACACAGGGCTCTCCTTCAGAGGGCACCACCCTCGGGTAATAGGAGAGGTAGAATCTGATTCTTCAGATTGCTTCCACCATTGTCTTGGTAATCTGAGCTTTATTAGTCTCTAAATACCAGGAAGCAACAGCAGCCTCACTGTTAAACTGGAAAGCACAAGAGCCACCCGGTTTCCTCCATGACTTCTGGATGTCCCCTTGCCCTCTATCCTCAGCTTTTCAAGGTCTTTCTACAAGAAACTCTTTCAGAATCTGTTCTGGAGGTCAGTCACTTCGGGCTGCTCCAAAGGAGGAGGAAAGCATCCCTGAAACAGCCAGGAGGCAATTCCACTCCAGCACCAGCCCTTCCCTTCTCTTTGCAGGGACATTTACTGGCTCACCCCACTGCATGGAGGAAGTCTGGGCTCCCAGGAGCCACCCTGTCACGGTCTGAGGGTGGCATTAGCAAAGAGCACTGGCAGGACACAGGGGAGAGAGCCAGCTTCGTAACTGGACATCCTCTGGCACAAGCCAGCTCATCTGGTCATACCAGTTAAGTTTGACTCATGGTCTTTCTGCCTGGCTTGGAGGTGCGGAGGAAAACCAGAATCACTGCAGTAGCAGCAGAATAAGCCCTTATATTGCTCAGCAGCCAGTGAAAGATACTATCAAGAAAGCCACAGCGCGGTGACTGCTGAGAAGCAGAGGTCTCCAATAATATTTATACATTAGGAACTCTGTTCATAGAATCATAGAATGGTCTAGGGTGGAAGAGACCCTTGGGATCATCGAGTCCAACCATCTCCCCTACTCTACAAAGTCCTCCCCTACACCATGTCCCTCAGCACTGCATCTAAACGGCCCTTAAACACAGCCAGGGATGGGGACTCCACCCCCTCCCTGGGCAGCCTGTTCCAATGTCCTATGACTCTTTTGGTGAAAAATTCTTTCCTAATGTTCAGTCTAAACCCACCCTGTTGGAGCTTGAAGCCGTTCCCTCTCGTTCTGTCACTAATTACCTGTGAGAAGAGACCAGCACCAACCTCTCTACAGTGTCCTTTCACGTAGTTGTAGAGAGTGATGAGGTCTCCCCTCAGCCTCCTCTTCCTCACACTAAACAGCCCCAACTCCCTCAGCTGCTCCTCATACGATTTGTTTTCCAGCCCCCTCACCAGCTCCGTTGCCCTCCTCTGCACTCGCTCCAGCACCTCGAGATCTCTCTTGTATTGAGGTGCCCAGAACTGGACACAACACTCGAGGTGTGGCCTCCCCAGTGCTGAGTACAGGGGCACAATCACCTCCTTACTTCTGCTGGTCACACTATTTTTGATACAAGCCAGAATGCCATTGGCTTTCTTGCCCACCTGGGCTCATATTCAGCCGTTTGTCAACTAGAACCCCCAGGTCTCTTTCTTCCAGGCAGCTTTCCCAGCCTGAAGCATCAGCTCCCAACCCTGCCCCTTTGCCGTATCTCCACGGCTTTGATAAAATAACCCTCTGGTGTTGAAGATGTAACACCAAGGAGCCTGCACGTACCGTCCTGGCTGATGACCATGGACTCCAGCATCGTCTCGTTCCCGCTGTCCGGTGCGTTGCCTCTGCTGGATTTCTCCTCGTGGCTCTGGCTGGCTGGGACAGAAATATGGGGTCGGACCCTGCTTTTCCGGGTGCTGATGCGTATGATGCCTCGGACCAGCCTGCATTCGGCATCCTGCTCGTCCAGGTTGTAGTCCTGAGTTATGCTATTGATGAGGTCCGAGATCTTGTTAGTCTTCTCCAGGAAGACAGTGTCTGACGTGCATTTAGCCAGCTCGTCGATCTGGTGGACGCTGAAGAGCTCCGTCAGCTTCTTGAAGATCAGGACGTCGATCTCCCTGCTGGACATGGAGCCGTTCAGCTCGCTGATGTCCAGGTCAGATTCGTGGAAGGAATAATACTCCTCTGAACTCCGGTGGCTGCTGGGGAGTGGTGGCTTTTCTATGCTGTTCCTGAAGGGTTTCTCCGGCAGCAGCTCTTTGCAGCACGAATCCGATTCCAGGTGGTGGCTGGGGCTCCTGTTTTGATAGACAGGAATGCCCTTCAGTTTCACATCTGGGTAACTGAAACTGCTGCCCATGCTGGATTTTTTGATCTGGTTCCCATTCTTCTCAGTGGGAGAGACGTTGGCAGGGCTGTTTGGCAGTCGCCCGTTATAATCTCCGTTCTTTCCATCATCGGTGGAGGTCTCAGGGGGCCCCGGGTAGGGGATACAGACACTGCAGTCCTGAAAGCAGCCCCCACAGGTCACTATACAACAGAAAACAGCCTTGTACGTGTTCCAGGCCTGAGACAGAGAGGAACAGCAGAAGCTCTGGTTTGGGGGAGCCTCTGCTGTACCAGAAATAAAGGTGATTGTTTCTGCCTCTCTCCCGTTGGAGTCTTTGACGTCGGCTTTGCGGCCTTTCCTGTCCCGCGTCTGCTGGGCTCTGGAGCGGCTGGGTTTGATTTCGGGTGTAGAGCCACTGAACACCTCCAAACTGACATCTGTCTCCTTGGATGGTCTGGTCCGCAGGGGCACAGCCTCCTGGTAGGACTGGTTCAGCTGGCGGTGGCTGTTCAGGTCGTGGGGGAGTCTTGTTTTCCGGCCCAGCATGGCTCACCGCTCAGGCACCTGGAGAACAAGAAGGTCTCAAGTCAAACATTCGTCATCAGTCTCACCTCAGCGAGCTGTTGATCGACAGAGAAGGACCTAACATTCAAATTCAGCCAGTCTCAAATTCAAGAATTCAATTATTTACGAGAATATTTAGCATTAGGGCTCATGCTGCTCTCACTTGTCACATAGAGAGGGAATCCAGCCTGAGCTTCAGGGTTCTCCAACTACTCTTCCTTTTGGCTTGCATCGAAGACAGATGTTGTAAAAGGACGATTTTTAAGACCTCACCAATCCCTGTAACCTTCAGAAGTGGCTTCCTCAATGTAGCTGGAAGAAGAGTCAGGCTCCAGAGCCGCTGTTCCAGAGCAATAAATGAGTAGCTCAGCCGTAGGTGGAGCCAACTGACAGGCTCCAAAGGGAAAGTATCTTCTTTTAAACAACTTCCCCTTTGTCTTGCATTCCTTAAGATTAAGCTGGGCCCTGACAGCACTTATCCCTTTCAAAACACACCGTGCCCAGCAGGAGGTGACAGGCAATCAATCATTGTGCAAGCTGCCAATTCAGACTCCAGATTATTCCATGCTATTGAAATGTAGAGGATTTAGCAAGGACAGCCTTACCAGCACTGATGATTTTCCCTCCTCACACTAAAGGCTGTGTTATGGTAAAGGCTTTCCTATGAAAACCCACGTCTTCATCTGGATTAAAGAACAGATCCTGTCGACAACCTGGTCTCAAATCACACCTCGCAGGAGCAAAACCTTTACAAAGCCCCACTGCAGAAATCCTAAAGCAGACTCTCCACCCGACTGTTCTTCCCATTGCTGCTGCACTAACACAACAACCCCGGGTCTGCACACAGGAATAAACTGTTTTTTCCAGGGTACTACGTCACGTTTCAGCTCCACGGATCCAACACACAGACTTTGACACATTAAATCTCCCTGTTTTTATGAAGAAAGCTCCGCACCAGGTGACGGCGAGGAACGTCGGGTCAGGGCTGTCACTCTCCCCTTCTAGTGCTGCTGCTGCTTTTATCCCACACTATGGCAGGCCCCTAAATTGTCCACGCTTTCTAAGCTTCTTGGCTAACACTGCTTTCACCCCCAAGAGATCCTTTTAAATACTAATTAGGCTAATTAATAAGCAGTGAAAGCCCAACCATAGCTTTTCGGACCGTCCCTGCTGCTCTACTGTATACTTTCTATAGGGCACCTCAAGCATGAATAAATAAATCTGTCCCACCTTGTAAGAGCATTGCCTCTTTTTCCCTTTTTTTTTAAAAAACAAACAGTAATGTTGCCCCCACAGAGAAACAGGCGCAGACTGGAAACCAGGCAGTGAGAGCACACCACTGCTTTCCAGGAATACTTTGGCTCCTTCAGCTTATAAAAACCCGTAGAGTTGCGCACATCCCAGGAGCTCCCTTTCTACATTCCTGGACAATATGTTAAATATAAAAGCCCCAAACGCTCCGATTTTAGTGCTGAGCAGGCAGAGCTCCCTTGACTCAGCCCCAGTGGAGAGTTTTGATTGCTTTCCCTTCAGAACAACAGGGGTTTTTTACCCCCTCCCTCCTCCTGCCTCAGCTTCATCGTTTTTATAACACAGTTCAAAATTTAAAAAACAAACCAAAACCATTTGAGCTGTGTTGAAGCCCAGAACTGCTTCCTGGGATGTTTCTCGTTGCACAGTAATTATCATTTATATAACAATGTATGATATTCTGGACTTTCAAAGCATCTTTCACATGGGGAGGAGCGTTATCTCAGCTCCACAGAGAAACTCTTGCAGGCTCGGAGATGAAACCGCTCGCCCCACATGGCACAAACCCCCTGCTGCATCAAGGCATCAAGAGACACCTCTGGCCCCCAAAACTGAGCTTACCCCCCCTTCTCATCACGGCTGGCATTTCTGCAACCATTGGATCACATGCCTGAAGGGTTAGCACGTACAAGACACAGCTCCTCCATCCAGCACCTTCTCTGGCACAAGCAATGGATTAGACTGAAACCCACAGGCAGCTGCTTAACTCAGCCATAAACAAGAGCCTGGGGTAAAATCCACGTTTGAGTTGATACTCACAAGATCTTTGGGAGCTGTTCTCAGGCAGGCACTGGCTGTGAACACAGGAGATCCTTCTAAAGAACTTCAACATCTGCTTCAGGAGAGCGAGGAGGGAGTCACAAAGAGCTTGCGTGTCTAAGAGTTAGCCGGGGTCTAAGATCTTCATTGTTCAGAGGACAGGATTTCCTTTGAAAGATTTTTTTTAAAAAAAAGCTAAATTAAGTTGTGAAGCTACTTAATAAAGTCACATCTGTCTGCCAATAACCGTATTGCCACTGCTGCTAGAAGCTAGGGAAGCTGAAGTATTAACTCAAACAGATGCCAGAGAACCTAAATTCAGGATACAAGATGTAGATGTAGATACAATTTCTCATAAATATATGGAAGCATCAGGAGCTGTGAAGTTTTTTAAGTGGTCTTGCCAGGAGCTGAAAGCCACCCACCCCCTAAAGCCCCCAGCACCGGGCAGCGATGGAGACCCTGCCCCAGGGTGACGGGGATCCGGCCTCTCCTCTGTCCTGCTCTGTCCTCCCTGTCACCCGCCGGGGACACCAACAACCCGGCCAAGGGGTTTTCTTGACAAAAGCCTCCCGTTGCCCCCAGCCCAGGGAAGGGAGCCCCCCATTCTCTTCCAGCTGACAACCAGGACTCCACCGTGGTGCGGGTAAACACAACGTGACCCTTCCTTCTCACAGCCAAAGCGCTGCAAGGGTTGGGGAGGGGGGGAACAACCCCCCCAGGGCACCAAGGAGAGGCCCCTCTACCTCCCTGTGGCCCCCCGACATCCTCCAGAGGGTGGATTTTGGGGAGAAGAGAAGCCAGAAGTGGAGAAACGACGGTTTCCAGCGGAGCTGCCGACCCGGCCTGGCAGGGCCTGTGTTTGCCCCTTCCCTTTCCCCACCGCGCCCCCCCCCCGGCAGCAACTTTTTATAGCTTTTCAGCCCTCGAAAACCAAGCCGACCCTCCCAGGAGAGCTCCTACCGACACCAGCCCCCCGGGACGAGGGCAGGGAAGGCCCCAGAGCAGCGGGAGGGGAGAGAGGCCAAGGACAGGATGGGGACAGCCGCTGGCGGGGGGGATTGTCCCCCAGCCCCGGGGGACGCCTATCTCGGGGGAGGCCCGGGGCGCACGGAGACGGGGAGGGGGACAGCACCCAGGGCACCCCAATCTCGGGATAAGGGGGACGGCGACCGTAGGGATCCCCGGTGTAGCGGGGATGGCGGGGGCAACGCCCGCCCCTAACTCCCGGTCGCGGCCTGCTGCTGCCCCCAGGCCCGGCCCGGGCGGCCCCGCGGGGGGGGGGGGAAGGGGGGGGGGGGGCACCCACCTCTGCCCACGAGGGTCCCCATCGCCGGGGTGTCCCCCCCCGTCCCCACGGTGCCCATCCTCGAGGACTCTGTCTCAAAGCTCTGCCCGAGGATCTTCATCCCCCAGGACCCGTGTCCCAAACTATCCCCGTCTCTGAGGGTCCTTGTCCCCCAGGATCCCTGTCCCCAAGGATTCCAGTCCTCAAGGATCTCCATTCCTAAGGATCCCTGTCGCCAAGGATCCCTGTCTCCAAGGATCCCTGTCCCAAACTATCCCAACCTCCAAGGACCCCTGTCGCCATGGACCCCTATCCCCATGGACCTCTATCCCCAGGAATCCCTGTCCCCACGCATCCCTGTCCCCAAGGACTCTGTCTCAAAGCATCCCTCTGCCCGAGGGTCCTCCTCCCCCAGGACCCGTGTCCCAAGTTATCCCTGTCTCTGAGGGTCCTCGTCCCCCAGGATCCCTGTCCCCAAGGACTCTGTCTCAAAGCATCACTCTGCCCGAGGGTCCTCCTCCCCCAGGACCCGTGTCCCAAGTTATCCCTGTCTCTGAGGGTCCTCGTCCCCCAGGATCCCTGTCCCCAAGGATCCCTGTCCTCAAGAATCCCCATTCCTAAGGATCCCTGTCCCAAATGATCCCAACCTCCAAGGACTCCTATCCTCATGGACCCCTATCCCCATGGATCCCTGTCCCCAAGGACTCTGTCTCAAAGCATCCCTCTGCCCGAGGGTCCTCCTCCCCCAGGACCCGTTTCCCAAGCTATCCCTCTCTCTAAGGGTCCTCGTGCCCAAGAATCCCTGTCCCAAAGGATCCATGTCCTCAAGGATCCCCATTCCTAAGGATCCCTGTTGCCAAGAATCTTCATCCCCCAGGACCCTTGTCCCCTTGTCCCAAGCTATCCCTGCATCTGAGGGTCCTCGTCCCCGAGGATCCCTGTCCCAAAGGATCCCTGTCCTCAAGGATAAGGATCCCCATCTCTGAGGATCCCTGTTTCCAAGGATCCCTGCCCCAAATGATCCCCACCTCCAAGGACCCCTATCCCCATGAACCCCTGTCCCCATGCATCCCTGTCCCCGAGGACTCTGTCTCAAAGCATCCCTCTGCCCAAAGATCCTAATCTCCGAGGGTCTATCCCAAACTATCCCTATCTTTGAGGGTCCTTGTCCCCAGGGATCCCTGTCACTGAGGATCACCTTACCCAAGGACTGCTGTCTTCATGGTCCCCCCACCCTTAAGATCTCCTGTCCCCAAGGATCCCAGTCCCGAAGGATCCCTATCCCAATGATACTCATCCCCAAGGATCCTGTCCCAAAGAATCTCTGTCCTCAAGGATCCCCATTCCTAAGGATCCCATCCCTGAGGATCCCTGCCCCAGATGATCCTCACCTCTAAGGATCCCTGTTGCTAATGGTTCCCATCCTCGTGGATTCAGGTCATTGAGAATCCCAACCCCAACGGATCCCTGTCCCCAGGGGTCCTCATCCCAAGGATCTCCCTACCTGCTCTGCACCGTTCATTGTCATTTTAACTCCCCTGCAGGCAAGACCCCCCCATGCTACCCACACCAGGCAGCACCTCCCCACTGAGGGGCAGAAAGTGGGAGATGTGGGGCGGCCACATGTGTTCCCCGGGGTCCTACAGGACCTGTGCCTGGGGAAGAGCATCTCACCTGTGCCTCCCTGGGTGCTGCCTGTGGTTTTGGGTGCCTCACACTGGAGTCGGGAGCCCGTCTGCCCCAGGATGAACCTCCACCCAGGCCATGCCTGGCCCAGGTGCTTCCACCCCTTCCAAAAAACCTTTGGTCGCCTCTCCTGCCCCCCCCAGACCTGTTCTCCCACCCGTCTGCAGCCGCAAAGGGACCTGTGCCCTTCATGGGGGGTGATTTCACCCTCTCTGCTCAGCACCCTGCCGAGCAACAGCATCATCCATCCCTTCTCCCATTGGGAGCAGTCATTTCTGCCCAAGTGGCCCTGGGGACAGTGGTGGCACAGGGGACATTGTGCTGTGGAGATGCCCAACGCTCCCAGTGCAGCGCTGCTGCCAGGCTGAGCCCCTTCCTTGCTGCTGCTCCTGACTCAGTGGTTCTCTCCGAGGAGCTGGTGATTCACTCCTGGGGGGGTCGGATCCTTCCTGTGAAGGTTTGGAGGAAGGGAAAAGGAAAGCAGAGGGGAAAGCAGGCAGTGGGGCAGGGGGGGAAGGAGCCTGGCAGAGCAGCAGCTGCTCGGCTCGGATGCACCAGCCAGTTTCCGAGAGGAAAGAGGAGAGAGAAAAATCAATTTAAAGGAGGGTGCCAGTGCCAAGAAGCTCGTTCCTTCTCTAAAGGGCACAAAGACCGCGTTTATTTATTTAAGCCTCTGGCACAGGAGCACTGTGCTTAATTCCAGCCGGTGTCATTTCCCTGGCCGGGCTTCATTCGTGTATAACTCAAAGCACTGCTTGGAAATGCACCGGCTCCTCTTCTGCCAGGTGCCTTGAGAGCACAGATTCTGGCCACGAAACCTCTCCCAGCGCTGCCCCATTGAACCTGGCACTGCCAGGAGGAGCCGAGCAGCACAGTGTGGTCCCCCGAGCCCAGCACCGCGCTGCTCAACGCCCCTCAGCTCCTGCATTTTCCCCGTGCCCCATCATCTCCCAGCTGAGCTGCCACCAAACAGTGGTCCCAAACCACTGCTGCCGGCGTTGTTGGGTCCAGTGTGGTGGGGCAGGGAGTTGGGTCAACCCAGGAGTCGTGGGGCTTAATCCTGATGCATGATTCCTTCCTTTAAAGTGGGCCAGGATGAGAGAGCAGTGCCTGCCCTGGTAACTGGGACACCTGGGGGAAAAAAACCTGCAGAGAGACTGGGAGAGATGGCACTAACATTAATTATTGACTGCCTATAATAAGGCTTCGCTTTTCTGGAGCACATCCCAACGCGGGGCTTTAAAGAGGGTGGAGAGAAGAGGCCAGACCCTGGGGGCAGAGCGTGGCCGACGTGGGGCTGGCTGTCCCCATCCCTGTGGGAATACTGGGGACGAGGGACCGGCACTGGGATGGCACTGGGATGTGGTGCTGAGCCCCATCCTGGCAGTCGGTGCCTCCACGAGTGGCTGTGGAGGGTCACAGCCAGGGAAGGGAGAACAACGCTCTCCACCAGGCTTTTTGCAAGAGGTTTATTCTGAGCGCTGCTAATTTCGGCCTCCTCTGCTAAATCATTAATAGCTCGTCAGCCCAGGCAGAGATCCCGCAGCAGCGCGGGAGGGTTTTGGGGGACTCAGGCAGTGACTTACCCTGAGGGGCAGTTCTTGTATTTTTATATTATTTGCCTTTGCCAGCTTCTGTCTGCTCATCTACTGGGATGTGCTATGGCTGATTGGGACAGTCTCTGTCTTGACAGACACAGCCACTCTGGGGGGGCTCAGTGACACCCTCAGCCTCACGGGCCGATGCCCACAGCCCATCTGTCCCCTTCTTATCTCTTAACTTCTTGTCCAGGCACAGCTGCTCCCCGTTTCCATTTCCTTTTTTCACTCTGGAGAAGGAATTGGAGCTGGGAAGGTGACAAGGAGCTGGGGGGTGACCCAAAAAAGCACTTATTTTACGAGCTGATGGAGCAGGAACCTCCAGAGGCCCCTCCAACCTCAGCCATTCTGAGGTTTCACTTCGGGTGAACAGGAGAAACTCACTGGAAGACAGACTCCAGCCCTTTTCTGCTTTGGGGGTGCCCTTGGGGGTCCAGGTTCCACCAAAGCAGAGCAAAAAAAAGGCAGAGGAGGATCTTTCTGTCCCCACGGTTTCTGTGGGTTAGAGGCAGAGGGAGCAAGAGCAGAGCTTTGACCCTCAACCTCCGATGGAGCAACACTCCCCAAACCCCCAAACCCCATTTTACAGCAGCGTTCTCATGGGATACACAAAGATGGCTCAGCCTGGACTACTTCAGCTTTCCTACAGCCTGATATTTAAGCCTGCAGAGCTTAAATAAACGCCGTGGCCGTGTCTCTGACACCGGGCAGCGGGGATGGGAAGGGACGAGCCGGCAGCGGGGGCCGGGAGCGGTGACGCAGCAGCCTCTGACGCTGCTCCGGTGTCTGGCAGACGTGTGGCAGCGCTGGCAAGAGCAGGAATGCGACGCAAAACACAAGGGATGGTGGGTTTTTTATTGTTTTTTTCTTTTTTTCTTTTTTCTTTTTTTTTCCCTCTAAAGTAAGGAAAGCAAAGCTGCCACCAGCCCATGTGACAGGGATGCGTGGGGACAGGGATCCCTGGGGACAGAGGTCCATGGGGATAGGGGTCCATGGTGACAGGGGTCCTTGGAGGTTGGGATCGTTTGGGACAGGGATCCTCGGCAACAGGGATCCTTAGGAATGGGGATCCTTGAGGACTGGGATCCTTGGGGACAGGGATCCTGGGGGACGAGGACACAGGGATGACATCCGTCGCAGGCCTGGACATGGCTCTGCTTGGAACTGATTTATGCTGTTTGGGTTTTTATTTTCTGCTTAGGCTTTTGCTCCTTTCTAGGGAGGGGGATGAGACCTCGGTACCTGGTTCCTGTCCCTTTTATCCTCTCTGCTGCAAAACAGCAGCAGACTTTACCTCACGCACCTACAGGAAGATGTGGCTCCTGAACATGATGTCTCAGCAGGAGGAACCCCAAAAACCAGGCACCTGGGGGGGGGAGCAAGGTGGCAGCAGCACCCTCCCATTCCAGCCCCCTCCCCATGCCATCTCGGCCCACTCTCAGCTCTATTAAATGATAACGACTGTCACAGCGACGTTGCTGTGAGAGTCACACAACCAAGGACACGCTGTCCTGATGCCACGTCCCCTGCCCCCCAAGGCTGGGCCACCCCAGCCCCAGGGAGGGAAGAGGGGCTGCCCCCTGCCCCTTTCCCTGCCCCAGGCTGGTGACTGGGGGACCAGGATCCCCCAACCAGCACCAGGAGCTTCTTAAGCTGCCCCTCCCAGGGGCTGAAGACATGAAACCAGCCGTTCCAGTTATCTGTCCCAGTCCAGCCTGTCCCCCTAAACCTTCCCAGTAACCCTCCCTAGTATCCCTTCCTAGCCCAGCCTTTCCCAGTAAACCTTCCCAGTAACCCCTTCCCAGTCCAGCCCTTCCCAGTGACCCCCCAGTAACCCTCCCATCCTTTCCCATTAACACCCTCCACATTTCCCAGTGACACTCCCCACTCCCCCCCACTCCCGAAAAAGAAGGGGGGGGCATTTTTCCTGTGCCCTGAACCGCAAAACGCTGCTGTACCGAGCCCGGGGCCGTGCCGTACCGAGCCCGGGGCCGTGCCAGCACCGGAGCCGTGCCGTACCGAGCCGTACCGAGCCCGAGGCCATCCCGGTACCAGGGCCGTGCCGTTCCAGGCCACACCGAGCCCCGGGTCATCCCGGTACCGGGGCCGTACTGCACTGAATCCGCTGCCGGTGCTGTACCGGGCTATAGCGCTATACCGGTACTGCGGCCGTGCCGTGCCGTACCGAGCCTGGAGCCATGCCAGCACCGGAGCCGTGCCGTACCGAGCTGTACCGAGCCCGGGGCTATCCCGGTACCGGGACCGTGCTATACGAAGCCCGCTGCCGGTGGCGTACCCGGCTATACCGCCATACCGGTACTGCGGCCGTGCTGTACCGAGCCCGACGCCGTGCCGGTGCCTTGGCCGTGCCGTACCGAGCCTGGAGCCGTGCCAGCACCGGAGCCGTGCCGTACCGAGCCCGGGGCCGTACCGGTACCGGGGCCGTGCTGTACTGAACCCGCTGCCGGTGGCGTACCCGGCTATACCGCCATACCGGTACTGCGGCCGTGCCGTACCGAGCCTGGTGCCGTAGTCGTGCCGTACCGAGCCTGAGCATCCCCCGCCGGGGCTGTACCGTACCGGGCCGGCATCCATCGTCCCCCCCCTCTACCCTCTCCATACCGGTGCGGAGCCTGTACCCCCTCCCCATACCGGTGCGGAGCCGGTACCGGTGCCGCCCCCGGCGGGGCCGAGCCGCAGGGAGCCGGCACCGCCCCCGGGCTATATATCCATCTCCGCGGCGTTGCTCCGTTCCCGTTCCCATGGCGGCGGCGGTGGCGGCGGAGGATCGGTGTCCGGCTGCGGACGACGAGCAGCGCCCCGATGGCGGCGGTACCACCAGCACCACCGGCAACACCGGCGGCGGGGGCACCGGTAACAACGGCAACGGCGGCAGGAATGCGACGCAAAACACAAGGGATGGTGGGTTTTTTATTGTTTTTTTCTTTTTTTCTTTTTTCTTTTTTTTTCCCTCTAAAGTAAGGAAAGCAAAGCTGCCACCAGCCCATGTGACAGGGATGCGTGGGGACAGGGATCCCTGGGGACAGAGGTCCATGGGGATAGGGGTCCATGGTGACAGGGGTCCTTGGAGGTTGGGATCGTTTGGGACAGGGATCCTCGGCAACAGGGATCCTTAGGAATGGGGATCCTTGAGGACTGGGATCCTTGGGGACAGGGATCCTGGGGGACGAGGACACAGGGATGACATCCGTCGCAGGCCTGGACATGGCTCTGCTTGGAACTGATTTATGCTGTTTGGGTTTTTATTTTCTGCTTAGGCTTTTGCTCCTTTCTAGGGAGGGGGATGAGACCTCGGTACCTGGTTCCTGTCCCTTTTATCCTCTCTGCTGCAAAACAGCAGCAGACTTTACCTCACACACCTATGAGAAGATGCAGCTGCTGAATGTGATGTCTCGGCAGGAGGAATCCCAAAAACCAGGCACCTGGGGTGGGGGGGAGCAAGGTGGTAGCAGCACCCTCCCGTTCCAGCCCCCTCCCCATGCCATCTCGGCCCACTCTCAGCTCTATTAAATGATAACGACTGTCACAGCGACGTTGCTGTGAGAGTCACACAACCAAGGACACGCTGTCCTGATGCCACGTCCCCTGCCCCCCAAGGCTGGGCCACCCCAGCCCCAGGGAGGGAAGAGGGGCTGCCCCCTGCCCCTTTCCCTGCCCCAGGCTGGTGACTGGGGGACCAGGATCCCCCAACCAGCACCAGGAGCTTCTTAAGCTGCCCCTCCCAGGGGCTGAAGACATGAAACCAGCCGTTCCAGTTATCTGTCCCAGTCCAGCCTGTCCCCCTAAACCTTCCCAGTAACCCTCCCTAGTATCCCTTCCTAGCCCAGCCTTTCCCAGTAAACCTTCCCAGTAACCCCTTCCCAGTCCAGCCCTTCCCAGTGACCCCCCAGTAACCCTCCCATCCTTTCCCATTAACACCCTCCACATTTCCCAGTGACACTCCCCACTCCCCCCCACTCCCGAAAAAGAAGGGGGGGGCATTTTTCCTGTGCCCTGAACCGCAAAACGCTGCTGTACCGAGCCCGGGGCCGTGCCGTACCGAGCCCGGGGCCGTGCCAGCACCGGAGCCGTGCCGTACCGAGCCGTACCGAGCCCGAGGCCATCCCGGTACCAGGGCCGTGCCGTTCCAGGCCACACCGAGCCCCGGGTCATCCCGGTACCGGGGCCGTACTGCACTGAATCCGCTGCCGGTGCTGTACCGGGCTATAGCGCTATACCGGTACTGCGGCCGTGCCGTGCCGTACCGAGCCTGGAGCCATGCCAGCACCGGAGCCGTGCCGTACCGAGCTGTACCGAGCCCGGGGCTATCCCGGTACCGGGACCGTGCTATACGAAGCCCGCTGCCGGTGGCGTACCCGGCTATACCGCCATACCGGTACTGCGGCCGTGCTGTACCGAGCCCGACGCCGTGCCGGTGCCTTGGCCGTGCCGTACCGAGCCTGGAGCCGTGCCAGCACCGGAGCCGTGCCGTACCGAGCCCGGGGCCGTACCGGTACCGGGGCCGTGCTGTACTGAACCCGCTGCCGGTGGCGTACCCGGCTATACCGCCATACCGGTACTGCGGCCGTGCCGTACCGAGCCCGGTGCCGTAGTCGTGCCGTACCGAGCCTGAGCATCCCCCGCCGGGGCTGTACCGTACCGGGCCGGCATCCATCGTCCCCCCCCTCTCCCCTCTCCATACCGGTGCGGAGCCTGTACCCCCTCCCCATACCGGTGCGGAGCCGGTACCGGTGCCGCCCCCGGCGGGGCCGAGCCGCAGGGAGCCGGCACCGCCCCCGGGCTATATATCCATCTCCGCGGCGTTGCTCCGTTCCCGTTCCCATGGCGGCGGCGGTGGCGGCGGAGGATCGGTGTCCGGCTGCGGGCGACGAGCAGCGCCCCGATGGCGGCGGTACCACCAGCACCACCGGCAACACCGGCGGCGGGGGCACCGGTAACAACGGCAACGGCGGAACCGGCAACAACGGCGGCACCGGCAGCAGCAGCAGCCCCGGGTCGGTGGAGCTGGCGGCGGCTCGGCGGAGGCTGGTGGCGGCGGAAGGTCGCCGTCGGGCGGCGGCGGAGCTGGAGGGTCGGGTCCGGCAGGTTCATTGCGCCCTGCGACACGCCGAGCTCCGCCTGGCCGCCCGCGCCGAGGCCCTGGGCCGGTTGGGGGCCGGGGTGGCCCAAGCCCAGCTGGCCCTGGCCGCCCACAACCAACGGTTGCAGAAGGGGCTCCGTCGTCGCCCCCGCCCCCGGCCCGCAGCCCTCTTGGCCGCCGCCCGCGCCCTCCGCAGCTGCGTCCCCTGGGGTCCCGCACGCCCCCGAGGATCGGGAACGACCCCCGCCGCTTCCCGGCGGCTGCCCGCCGCGCCCCGACCCTGCAGGATCTCAGGGACCTTGAGGGGGTCCTGGGGACCTTGAGAGGGTCCTGGAGATTCTGATGAGTTGGGACCTTGCAGGATCTGGAGGACCTTGAGGAATTGGGGCCCTGCAGGATCTCAGGGACCTGATGGGGTGGGGGGGACCTTGAAGGGGTCCTGAGGACCTTAAGGGGTCCTGGGGATTCTGATGGGTTGGGACCCTGCAGGATTTCAAGGACCTTGAAGGGGTCCTGAGGACCTTGAGGGAGTCCTGGGGAGTCTGATGGGCTGGGACCCTGCAGGATCTGGACAACGGCGGCACCGGCAACAACGGCGGCACCGGCAGCAGCAGCAGCCCCGGGTCGGTGGAGCTGGCGGCGGCTCGGCGGAGGCTGGTGGCGGCGGAAGGTCGCCGTCGGGCGGCGGCGGAGCTGGAGGGTCGGGTCCGGCAGGTTCATTGCGCCCTGCGACACGCCGAGCTCCGCCTGGCCGCCCGCGCCGAGGCCCTGGGCCGGTTGGGGGCCGGGGTGGCCCAAGCCCAGCTGGCCCTGGCCGCCCACAACCAACGGTTGCAGAAGGGGCTCCGTCGTCGCCCCCGCCCCCGGCCCGCAGCCCTCTTGGCCGCCGCCCGCGCCCTCCGCAGCTGCGTCCCCTGGGGTCCCGCACGCCCCCGAGGATCGGGAACGACCCCCGCCGCTTCCCGGCGGCTGCCCGCCGCGCCCCGCAGCCCCGCATGACGGGGAGTTGGAGGGGGGAGGAGGAGG